GCTCTAATTAAGTCAAACTTCTATTGAATGTATCATTTCTTAGTTTAGAGTATTCCTTAGCATAGTTTGTGACATTTAAACTAGGCTTTTCGTTTACAAAATCAGCAACAGTTAGTGCTTCCGAATAACTTCCTAAAAGTTTGGTAGCTTGTTTAAACACCACATTAATTTTATACATGTACCCCTGATCAGTTAAAAAGGTCAGATTGTCAAAGTTCAAATTAAAGCTAAAATACTACTTATTCAAAGAAATGAAGGTATTTAGTTTATCTGCCTAATCTCTAACTATTCCAAGATTCGTTATCATATTTCTCAAGTAGTAATCTATTCTGGATCTATTTGGAGGTAAAACACTAGATTGGTTTAAATTTTTCAAATCTTAAACAATTAAGTGAATTGTTTTAATGTTGAGTATTGAGGCTCTCATATTGGCGTTTCTTTGACTTATGTATGACATTGCTGTTAGTCTGCCAGAAATCTACTAATGCTTGTCTGTAAAAGCAGCGAGATTGTAAATGCTGATAATTAGAAAAGAAACAATAGTACAGGCCAGCACAGCTGCGTTAATTTTAAGTATTTTAGGGGCTTTTCTTTAGAAGAGTAGGTTTTTAGCATAATGTGACTATATAGCATTGCTATTAGTCGAGGAATTTGTGCTACTAAGGGAACTTAGATCAAAATTATTACTATCAGAATTTACAGAAGATTTATCTTAAAGTTCTCTTCCCTCTGTGATGGGGTTACCTGTTGATGTGCTCTTTTTGTATACAACTTAAGATGTCGAGAATTTCTTAGAATATAAACCTGTCTAAGAACCCATTAATTCAAAATCTGGGTGCTTACTTAAAGGAAGTATCATGAAAATATTTAGCCTTATTTCATCATTATTAGCTAATATTCTCTGTTAGAAATAATTCAAGAGACATGGAAAAGTTTGTAAGTGATCAAATGAATCCATTTCAGAATTAAATTTTCTGCAAGTAACTATTTTATTTACTATTCCGATATTTTCCTTTTCAGGTAAAATTGTATTTGTTCCAAAATCTTAAGCAAATGATTTTTAGATATCGACTAAAAAGTTTTGCAAATTTTCTTTGAACCCTGTTACTTCCTCATTATTTTCTATTTTTTATGCATTTAGACCAGTATAAGTTAGAAAGCTTTTTGAAAATTCGATAACATTAAGATTATCATCTGTTAACAGCATCATACAATCACTAGTTAGAATTCTATTCTATTCTTCATTAAATAAATTCCAATACTTTATTCTCTCAGCTTAAGCAACAAAAGAATAACTGAATTTAGGATGATAGTAGAAATTGATTCGAAGTTAAATTGGAATAAGATACCCGTCATTTGCTTTTGCAGTTAAAACTCTCAGTTTACCTAAGATTTTAGGATGACCATCTAAGTAAAATTTTCTGATGATAGAGTCATGGAAAAGAGCAATCTATCTTGGCATAATTTGATTTATATTTCTACCCTAAAGATTACTTTCTGGGATTTTAAATAAATCACAAAATGCCTTATTTCCATATAAAAATTCCCAGTTAGATCTACCTCCTCCCCAAGCTGAAATAATTGACACTCCTACATCTGCTATTTAGTTATGAAGTTAAATTGCAGCTCCACCATTATTAGACATAATTCCAAAAAATTTGTCTTTAGTTCTTAAAGCTAAGCTATTTTTTATGAAATTTGCCATTTAACTGGAAGTCAAGGGGTCATGGAGCATTTCAAGATGAAACAAAGCATAGATCTAGTACTTGCCTAAATCTTTTTTCAGTACATGATTATCTTCTAACTTTTTTGTAAGTATTTTAAGCTTATAAATTGAATCTGAGATTTAAGTTCCAAGACTCATGATATGCTAGACATTCGGATCATCAGATTTAATTTTCTTCCAGAATTCTAGAATATAAAGTGTTGCTTTTTCATAATATTAATCTAATTCTTGTTGCTAATGGTTCCCATCTATAAAGTAAGAGTAATCGAATCCTCCTGAGTTATTTTTAAAGTTTAGTAATGCCTCTTACAAAATGAGTTATTCACAAATTGAAAACTAAACACGTTCCAAAAATCCTAATTATTTTTTGCTCTGGTTTATCTTCAAAAGCTGGAATATTGCTAGAAAATGTTTTTCTAAATTCTTGTTAATATAGTTAATGTATTATAGCTAGTACTCAGGGTGCTTTAATGAGCTCATAAAACTATTGTTTTAATCAAATCTTTTTAGGATGCTCTCTAGGAGTTGAATAAATAGATACTTTCAAGCTTCCTTTTAATCTTTAAATTTAATTTTTTTGCCTTGCATATTTTTATCTTAGTTTTTCTATTAGTTTGAGTTGCCATGAATATTCAAAAGAATGTGCGAGTTATTCATCATCTTTTGATTGATGTTCTCAATTTCAAATACTTCTTTGAACATATCATCTATTGAGATTCCTGTCACTATGAGATTAGTATCAAATGAATAAGTTTGAACTTGATCATGGTTTGATAGTGGAGACGCATATGGTTGTGAAACTATTCTTTCCTTTTAATTTTCAGAAATAGATTTTTATTCTAACCCATCTTAAAGCTAAAAATCTATGTTGATCTAACTGGCTTCGATCCAATCACTTTGTCTAGAGATAACTTTTCTATCTCCATTAGAATCATTTTAATCCGTTGCATCATAGTTCTAGTGACTAAATGGTATGAAATTGTCTTGAGTTAAATCGATATTAGTAGTTTTGTTCACAGAAATAGAGCTTTCTCCCACAATATTTTTAATACCTATGCCTTTTTTACTATTATTCAGTTGGTTATGACGGTTATGATTCTCATCGTTCTTCTTAAATTGTTCTATTATGAGTTCGAAATACTTTTGGCAAATGCAATTAATATCTTAGCATTATATTCAATGAGTATTGACTATATTATGAAGTAGATTCAAATCATCCAAGTTTTACCTCTCTAGCATTTGCAGTGAATATAGAATCATCTACTAAACCTATTTCCCATTTATACTTTTTGAAGATTTGAGATTGAGAAAGATTTCAGATCTAACCCAGTTCTCATAAAATTAAAATAACTTTAGCACCGAGTAAAATGTGATAGGTATGTAGATTATCATCTCAATTAACTAGATTTCAAAGGTGATTCTTATAAAGCTAACAAAGGTTATGGATAAAACAAGTCTCATAGAATAAACATAAACTTGATCTAACTTAGAACAAAAATAAATAGGTCTCTGATAGTTATTAAGAGCAATAAGCACAAGCAACAGTAGATAATAGGCAATAAATCCAATAGAATATTTTCTAAGTTCTTCTAAAAAATATTCTTACGCCACCACCAACGCCTTCACTATTTCTTTTATGACTAAATATTTCGGGAAAATGGCGACCCAGGGAAGATTTGAATTTTAGATTGGTAGTTAAACTAGAGTAAAAGCTATAAAAAGAAGATACTATAAAGAATTCCATTTATCACTATCAGAACTATTAATATGTAATAGTTCTAGTCTCCTTTTTGTTATAAATCAGAAATGGCCAAAATTGAGCTTAGCTGTAATATTGTAAATACATAGATAAGAATGGTTCTCTAGAACATAATAAAGACCTATGTAAATTCAAAAACATAATCCTTACATAGAGAGATTTTTTAATGAAAGCACTTTCTTTAGCATCTTCAAAATTCTTATTAGTTATTAATATTTATCCACATATCAAGAGCATTATTGTCATAATTACACAGAACAACGCATTAATAGCAATGATTGTATTTGTGCTATCGTAGAAAGCAAAGATTGAAAAATTTCTCGTATCAATATAATCATAGTAGGTGGTTGTTGGATAAGAACTAACAATAATAATTATTCCTAGTACAAGATGATCAGAAATTGTCAAAAAAGAATAAAAGTTAATCCCAACTATGCTATTAAACATTATTGCTTAGGCTAATATCGCCAACTTTAGAATTATCTTGTCAACGTATTTGAAATTTTTTATGTCTTTTGATTCAAAATTTTACAAATCCTCTTTCATTATAATAAACTTTCTATATATATAATCAGACATTATCTACTTCAACAAATTAATTTGAATCAGGGGTTTTGGGGTTTTGGGGTTTTGGGG